CCCCCCCCCCCCCCCCCGCCGAGTGCAAGCCAGGCTGGCCGGAGACGAAGATGGGCCTGGACGTGACATTGAAACCCAAGACACGGAGGTTGAGAAGGATGCAGGCAGATGAGGAGGGGGCTTGAGAGCAGAGGGTCCAAGGAGGCAAGGAACGGCAAACACAAAGCCACAGAGCGGACAGATGAGGGGTCCTCACACGTGGCATGCTCCAGAAACTGACAAAGTTTGATACAGCTTGAAGCATAAGAGGAGAAAGGGGAATGATCGGAACGACGGCGGGGGTGGGGGGAGAAGCAGGACCCATTTATTCAGAGCCCGGGAGGCCGTGTTAAATGATTTAGATTTTATTCAGTGGGGAGCCACTGAAAGATTTTAAACAGGTGCTGGACATCTTCAGATACGTGCTTAGAACTCCTGCTCTGCTTACAGTGTCGGGAGCTTGGAGGGCTCAGCTCAGGTGACAGAGGGGCCAAAGCCTGATGGATGGAGAGCAGTGAATGGGTCTGGGGAAGGCGCCTTAGGGTCCACATAGGGACCCCAAAGCAGAAGCCGGCAATGTGGATTTGGGAGACAGGAGCACAGAGGTGGGCACTGCTGTGACGGGTGGACGAGGCAGACTGGGGACAGTGTCAGAGTAGAGGGAAAAGGGTGCCAGAGGAGCATGTGGGGAACAGGCAGAGGGAAGCAGGATTAGTCAGGAGGAGGGCCGGGGGGAGGATGCTAAGGGCCTGTCCAGAGGACCCAGCAGCCAGGAGCGTGGGCCACCACGCCGTATGCAAGTTGATGGTGGGAGGGGAGACAGTGCGGCGGGGTCCCGAGCCCTCAGTGGCAGGAGGAGGCGTGGGAAAAGGAGAGTCCAGCCCAGTGGCTTGAGCTCAGGGAAGTGGGGAGCGTGCGTGGGTAGAGGCGCTGCTCAGAAGCAGTGCGAGTGTCTGCTCCAGCTGCGGTGATAAGTTGGCAGCCACCGGGGTGCTTAACCAACACACGTTTATTTCTCATAATTCGGAGGCTGGAGTCAAGAGCAAAGTGTGGGCAGGGTTGGTTTCTCCTGAGGCCTCTCTCCTTGACTTGCACCCCTGCCATCTCTGCGTGTCCAAACTTCCTCTTTATAAAAAGAGGACGCCAGTCAGATGGGACTGGGGCCCACCCTTATGTCCTTTTTTTTTTTTGCGGTACGCGGGCCTCTCCCGTTGCGGAGCACAGGCTCCCGACGCGCAGGCTCAGCGGCCATGGCCC